ATCTCTGACAAAAATGACAAAGATGTTTTATAAGAAGATAAGATGACCTTCCATAAATCCTCTATTCTCTCTTTGAGGGTCCCAACTAGATGGCCATCCAAGCCTCTTCTTTTCTTCGTATTCTGTATTTCATCACCTTTTGTAGTGCATGCTAGGTGAGTTTATCGGATCTAACTTCTAATTCAACAAATCTCTTCTAATTACGTCCAGTCTTCTTAACCTTTTTTTCCATTTCAATGACATTTGTCTTTTTTAACATTTCTAACTCAAATTCTCCATTTCACTCCTCTTTCCTTTGTGGAATTCCCTTTTATCTCTCAATGGTTTAGACATACTTATTTTAAGGTTCCTTTAAGTAGTTTCTATTTTGTTTGGTTTTTGGTTTATTTTGGTGGTTCTACGGTTGACTTCAAGGTGGAGGGCACATTTAAATGCTTTGTAATGTTTTCTGGTGAGCTTATCTCCACAGAGGCCTGTGGTGTTTTGAGGAGTAGGAATGAGTAGGTTGCATCTGTGACTGACTCCGCCAGAGTCCCACAGACTTCAGGTATTCTGGACTAGCTTCAGGGTGATTTGCACAGCGTAGGGTCTCTATGTGAAGAAGGCAGCACACTCAGACCTGCACAAAGGAAAGGTGGTGGCTTTTCACTCACTTCTGGCGGGTGACAATATCCATACCTGTGGTGCCTCCTATAGCAACCTCAAGAGGAATTCCCATGTAGCTCCCCACCATGTAGCTCTCCAGTGCTGCAGGACTCTCCCAGCCCCTGCCCGGCCCTGCCCTGCCCAGGGCACCTTGCTCCAGCTCTGTCATAAACTCTGCGGGTGACTTGGCTCCTGTCTCCACGTGTGAGAGCCCTTGTCCCTACAGGGCTTGATACAGCTGTGGCTACTGATTTCTTACATGTGTTACAAATATGAATTTAAGTTTCATAAAATTATATTTTTATCCAATATCTACATGTGCTTGCAGTGGGAGGAGAGGAACTTCACAAGGGCTCAGGCATCTGACCAGAGGGTTTTTTTTTTTGTTGTTGTTGTTTTTAACATTGTCTCAGGATTAAAAGGTTTTCTCCTACAGTATGCCTGTGCCCCTTACAGTTCAGTAACTTGTTATCCCAATTCATCCACTGTCTTAGCCCCACCCCCTTTGCATTTAGATGATCTCCTGCATCACTGTACACACTTAAGACCCTTACTAAAAGTAGGGTACAGGGGCTCCTGGGCCCTTCCTGAACCCATCAGCCAGTTCATATAAATTCTGATTCTGTTTTCTTACTAATTCTTTTGTGTTGCTATAACTCTTTCATCAGCTCATGATGTGTTTTTGTTTCTTGAAATTGATTTCTGCTGATTTTGTGTTTTGTAACTTGAAAGCAAAGACTGGACACTGTATTATAAAGTGACTTTGCCATATCACTTATAAAATCAAATCCCAGGACCTCTTAATAAATGCCCTGCTAACTGACCTCCACCGAGAGAAAGGCCCATTATTCTACTTTGCTCCATGCTTTTTAACCCAACCTTCTCCTGCTCCCAAGATGGCTGATGTTCTAATAGCCTTTGTTGAACAATCACCTGACACTCCTAAATAAAATCATTAACAAGACCACTGAGTATATTTTGGTAGAATCTCATTTTCTGAAGGGAGGGGAAGGTTTGTGTATGTGCATGCGTGTGTGTGTGTGTGTGTGAGACTAAAGTTCCTACCTAATGCATGGGGAACCATATTAAAAATAGCACACCTACTTGATTAGCACAGTCGCAACGTATGCTCTGCTCCCTTCATCTAAAGGGCCCGCGTGGTTTCGTGCTCTCTACAGACACGGTCTAGGATCAGGTTATTGCCATTACAGTAAATTACTGGCAACATTGCTCCCTCAAGGTGAAAGAACACCATGATGTAAGAAGTGGTTTCAGATTTCAATCTCCACATCACACCAGGCTCAACACTGGGTTTTCCACTGGGCTCTCTGGAGCTACGGGGCCCACAGAGCTCCCTGTCAGATGCCCTCCCTGGTGGCCTCTGCTGCTCCCTGGGCAGCTGATGTAATTTGATACAGTTGCTGTATTTAATGGAAATTTTTTCTCTAATCCCAGCATGTTAAGTAGGTTTTAGAAGAATGAGCTGTCCCATTCTACCAGTCTCCTGCCCCATAAACAATCTTATGATAAATTCCTCTGGAGATTTGGTGCCAAGAAAAAAAAATGTTTCTCTCAAGGAGCAGGTCTGTTTCCTTATACCAGACAATAAAAGCTATGTAACCCCTGGAGTTTGGTTTTTGTTCAGAACTAAATGAAGGGAGGCTTTCAATGTTTGGAATAACATGCTTGTAAGAAAAACAAAGCGTGGGCTGGTCAGTAAAGCCCTAGGGACAGAAGGGAAGAGCCTAGAGGTAGACACGGTTACCACCTGCATTTTGCAACAGGAAAACTGAAACTCCCACACCTGACATGGAGGCCTGCCTGCCCACTAGGATGTGACTGGCACCATCTCACTGGACCCTCACCCTAATCTTCTAATACATGCAGATTTCCCCCAATTTCCAGATGGGGCTCCAGAGAAAACTCAGTAGACATTCTCTACTTCTGCCCCACATGGAAAAGGTAGCTGTGACAAAGGGTCATCAAGGTGGTTATTAAATTTGGCAGCTATTTGCCATGGGGAGGGTGGAGCTTCCTTCCCCAGGAGAATTTTATGCAGAGACTAGGTAAGCACTCAGGATGTCATACCATGTTCCATGATCAGAAGACCCGCTGCAATCCTTCTAACTCTGTGGGGACAAGAGGCTATTTCCTGTGTGCTTTGTCTTACTTTTCAACCAGCGTTTCTGCTGTGTGACTATGATGTATGCACACTCCACACACACCCCCCCGATATAAATGCTGCTGTCACCCCCGCCCACGGAGGGGAGCCCCTCCTTACAAGGAAACCTGAGTGCATCGGACAATCAGAACATCAGATAATCTTATCAGAGCTGGACAGGGCATAAAGGTCTTCTGCAGCCATGCACAGGATGAACTTGACCTGAAGCTTGCGTGACTCCTAGGAGAACCTCTTACTGTGGAAAATACCCAGCCAGGGAAAGAGCTGCAGAGAATGGGGAGGTGGGTGGGGCCAGGACAGCAGATTAAGGTCATTTAGGAGGAATAAACCAGGAGGTCTTTCAGCAATCAGGAAAGAAAGAAACAGAATCTGGGTCCACCCATTTAAACAATAATAATGCCATGCTTTGCATCCAAAATATCTCTTATCCTCTTGGGAACAGAAGCCGATTTACAAGAATGAGAAGGATGCTAATTTTCACTTCCTTCTTTTTCTGTTTTTAGGACAGAAATACACAGACATCCATTTCCTGCTGGGCACTGCTGGCCTGCCTGCCTCCCATCTTCCTCCCAGGGAATCCTCTTCCTTTGGGCTCCCAGACCACACACACCCCTTCCTGCTTTTCTTTCTCTTGAAATATTAAATTAAAGGAGTAATAAAAAGCACCAACTCTAAGTTGACAATAAGTGCCAGCAAGAGAGTCCTAAGGGGTGGTCGCAGGGTGGTCACCAGGACAAAGAAACTCCTGGCTGCCTCCTCAGTTCAGCCTCCTGGGAATCCAGAGTGCCCTGACTCACTTAAGACCTCTCCAGATGCAGAACCTGGTCAGGTTACATCACCCTGCTCTTCTTCAGGCTCCTTCCTCATTCCTTACAGAGCCGTTTTCCAGTCTGCTTCTGCTGCTTTTCCAGAAGTTTTTCTCAACATTCGCGATGTGGTGCAGAACTCAGAGAAGTTAGTTCAACTGAGAAGTCGTCATTTCAGTTTCTTCACTTTCTGAGGTCTTTGGAGACCAGAGGTTCTTCACACTGGCTACACATGGGAATCACTTGGAAGCTTTAAGAAATAAGCCTCATCTAATCCTATGATATCCGAAGAACAAGTCACAAAACGAGCCCCTCAGTAGAGTCACTGGGATGACTGCGCCGTTGCCCAGGTGATTCTAGAGTGGTTTGAGAGCAGGGGCTGCTGGGTCCACTCAGATTCTCCTTTCTCAGTGTCTGATGGAGCCAAGCCCCTGCCTGACAACCCCACAGGAAGGCTGCAATGTCCCCTAAGTCATTAGCTCCCGAATACCAGTTAGTATCATGTGGGCCCTTTTGAAAAAGGCAGATGCCCCTGCTTTGGAACACAGACACATGTGGCAGGTCTGGGTGGGGCTCAGATATGCATTCTATTGGGGATACTGACGAAGGGGTCCCCGATGCAGCAGTCCCCCAGGCCCACACTGGGAAACAAGAGTTTAAGTCATCGTGGGGAGTGCCCTGGCTGGGCTTGATTTATTCACTTGATATTACTACTTTGTGAGAGGCACGGTCCACAGATTGCAAGAGCTGTGATAATAATGCCAAAGCAGAGGACAGGTTAGAGCCACGTGGGTCCCCACCTATTGGCCAGCCAGCGATCTGTTCCTATAACGTGCAAACATGGATTTCCTACCTTACTCACACGTGTGCTGGGAACCCTATTTGCACTCTCTTGAACGGATCAGTACACCTTCAACAGCACCCTAATATTTCTTGGTTAATGACAATTGGTAGATTTGTGAGCTCTCCCCGCTCTACACACACCAATTCTTTGAAGCTCTTCTTTCAAGCCTCCCCTTATATTTAACAAAAACATGCCACTCCCTGTCCCCCGACCATGTCAGTTCAGTGGGCAATAAAAACATAGAGGACAGCTCAGAGTAGCTGAATCCAGAGAAAAGGCTGAGACCAGGAATGTGTGAAATGAAGCACTTCACCAATGACATGAGCCCAGAAGCATGGCAGTACTCACCCTGGCTGTCATCAATGGAGGCCTGACCTGGTGTGGGAAGTAGAGTATGAAAAGCCTATGAGAGCTTGACATAAGCACAGCTGTGTCAAATGAGCTACAGGCTGAGTTTGGCATGGCCCCAGCCACAGAAGAGAGCAAGATGTTTACACTCAGAGAGAAAGCAGGTTTCTCTTGGTACAATGTCACACCCTCCCTGAGAGCTGTTGCTCCATCTCCTTGTTTACCACTGGACATAAAAGACTTGCTGAAGGGGGATTTGGAGATTGGATTGCTTGGCCTTTTGTGAGGGGCAGAAACGGCTATCAGGAGGCTTGCGATGCTGCTGCTGCTAAGGCAGCGGCTGTTTGTGTGTCTGCGAGTCTGAGGACCGAGACTGTAAGAGAGATTAAGGAAAACATGGGACAGTGCGAGTCTAAGTAAAGAGACTTTAAAGAATAGAAAAGTAAGGTTTTAAAGATTACAGAAAAGAAGCAAAGTAAAGAAGAGTTAATAGAGAAAAGAGTAACCAGGCTCTTGTGTGTCTCCATCCGAGCCCAACCTTATATATGTTTGTCTTCTATTGTTTGTCCTTTCTGAGTCTCCAGTCACCCCGTTAGGTCAGTAGGACAGGAGCTTGCAAGGCTCATGAGAACCTGGGAAGCAAATGGTTTGTTTGTTTGTTTTCTTGTGGCCCTGGAATTCATTCCAAGGCCTTGTGCACACCAGGCAAGTGCTGACTGTTGGGCTTACATCCCCAGCCGCAAAGGTTATCTCTTTGTTCACTGTGCTTAACATTATGTAAAAAGAGCCTGGGG